CATGTTTTGTAGCTTCAGCATATGGGCTACTTATCTGATTGTGTGATACAAACACAGACAGCAAAGAAACCCCCAATTGGTTGTGGCTAGTTGTGATGTATTACAGCAGGGAAACACGAGTTTTCCCAGTATAATGGATGATGAGGCCCTAAGGGGCTCCCTTTAAAATAAGGAATGTTCTATAAAACAGGACATCTGGCATCCTGAGATCTTATGACTCAGTATGAAGCTGTGGGATTGAATAAGAATCAGGCTAGGAATAGGCAGGCAACAGGACCTTTTATTAGCCCATCTCCTAGATTTTGTCTACAAGGCACAGACATGAGACCAAGTCCTTCCCCACTCTTTGAACTTTCCAGACTGCCATTGTCGGGACCCCTCCCATTGAAGTTTTCAGAAGCTCTTTGCAAGGTTCTAACATTTTGCTCTTATTCTAGGCCCTCTGATGGTGGCATAACTGTATAGGACAAAAATAAATTTGACAAAAGGGCGTCCTCCTATCTTGCAAGAGAGGCTGAAAAAGAGCAGAGGGAACACCACTCCCCAGTTAGAAGGCCCCAGAAGCATTTGAAGAAGGAGGAAAGGAAAGGAAAGCAAAGAAGTGTGCAATTGCTGTGTGCAAAGATGCCAGCTGTTCCTACCTCTGCTCCCTTGCTCATTGTCTCAGAGCACTCTAGCCAGAAGATTGAACTGATAATGCAGAACTCACAGAAGATTGAACTCAGAGAATCATAGAACCATTGAATAATAGAGCTGGAAGAGACTAGTAATGCTTCTGGGTCCAACGCTCTCTTCAGTGTAAGACTCCAAGTAAAAGCATCCCTAACAAGCGGCAGCCCAGCTACATTTTGAAATTCTGCAAGGCAGGAGAGCCCACAACCTTCTCAGGGAATTGGCTCCATTGCTATATTGCTCTTCCATTTCTGATGCTCAGCTTGAATCTGACTTCTTGTAAGTTGAGCCTGTTATTCCATGTCCTGCACTCTGGGATGATCAAGAAGTGATCCTGGCCCTCTTCTGCATAACGTTTCAATTACTTAAGAAGTGCTCCCCTCAGTTTTCTCTTCTCAAAGCTAAACATGCATCATTCTTCCAGTAGCACTTCATGGAGCTTTGTTTCCTATCCTGAACATCTTTGTTGCTGTCCTCTGAACATTTCCAGTTTGTCCGTATCTATCTTGATGCATGATATGCAGAAATGGACACAGTACTCAAGATTAGGCCTTATCAGTGCTGAATAGAGGGAAACTAGTACTTCATGTGTTCTATTAATGCAGCCCAAAATAGCATTTGCTCTTTTTGCAACCATATCATATTACTGACTCATATTTCGCTTGTAATCTACATTCCAAGATCATTCTTGCTTGTAATTATTGCTGAGCCATGTATTCTCCATCCTTTAACTATGCATTTGGTTTCTTTTTCCTAGGTGCAGAACTTGGTGTTAGTCTCTATTAAATTTCACTGTTGTTTCATCTTGCCAATATCAGTCTCACAAATTTAAGAAACATTCCCTGCCCCACCTCATCCAACTTGTTAATAAAAATGTTGAAGACCACTGAGCTCCCTGGTGCCCCCACTCTCCCCAGTTTGAGCAGGTGCCATTGATAAGCACCTTTGAGTCCAACTTTACAGCGAACTATGGATCCACCTGACAGTTGTTTCATCTAGTCCACTTTTAGCTAGTTTGCTGATGATTATGGACCACTTTGTCAAAAGTTAAGATATATTATGTGCATAGCATTCCCAGAGTCCACCAGGAAGATCAGCCAATCAAAAAATGAGAGTGGATTAATCTGGCAGGATTTATTCTTGACAAATACATATTATCTTCTAGCAATCACTGCATTGTTTTCAAAGTGTATGCAGACTGGCTGTCTTATAATCTGCTTCAGTATTTTCCCAGGGCACTGATGTCAGAGTGACTGGTCTGTAGTATCCAGGTTCTTCCTTTTTTCCCTTTTGGAAGACAAAATTAGCTCTCCTCCAGACATCAGGCACATCACCTGTCCTCCATGATTTCTCAAAGATAATAGAATTGGATTCTGCTGCTGTATTTCTGTGCAGAGACATGTATCTTTAATATATAGCAAACTCCACCTCCCTTCTGTTCTTCTTGAACAAGTTATATCCTTCAATTGCCAAATTACAGTCAAGGGAGTCATCTCACAAGTTTCAATTACACCTATCAAGTCATATTCAGTCTCCTATATGAAGAGTTCAAGCTCACGCTGTTTGTTTCCCATACTCTGTGCATTAGTATTTAGACACTGAAGACCATGTAGTTTATAGTACATCTTTCTTTTCTTTTTCAGAAGACTATTATTGGCTGCTATTGGAAATGCTCTTTCCATTGGGGTGCATAAGCCTATATCCCTTGCTATCCCTAAGTTTACTTCCCTATCCCCTGTAGAATTCAGGGGTTTGGCAGTATCATTTGTTCCCACAGGTGGGAAAAGAAAGGGGTCTATGTCAGTGAGCACTGGAAACCTTCAGTCACATTTCTAATCTTCCAGGTAAACAGTATGGTGAGTCCATGGCTCTTCATGGTATACCTGGGTTTCCATTCCACAAAGTAAGTAACCCACAGCTCCTGTTCTTCTCTTCTTGTTGCTGTAGCCCTTGGTTTCATGACCTCTGCTGGCTGCCCTTCAGTCTTTTGCATGCTGTTCCATGGGGTGCCCTCTAGTTCTTTCTCAGAAGACCGCCCTCCAGTCTTACTCTGAAAGTGGTTCTGCAGTTTCATTTCTATAGACTATCTTCTGGTTCTTTTGCTCCTAACTATCACCCTTTTCCAAAGACTTTCCTCTACTTCATTTTCCTTTGTCTCAGGATTCTCCTCCTCTGCTTCAGCTTCCCATTGCTCTTCAAGTTCCTGTGCTTCACTTTGTTATTGCAGTTTCACAACACTGTCTAAAATCTCTTCGTCTTCTCTTACTCCTCTGAGGATCCAGTACTCCCGTATTTTCCAATCCAGCACTCTGTTTTTTTTTTCTTACAGCAAGGCGACCAGCATGCACTTGTTGAACAGATAGGCCATGCTGATCTCAGACAAAACAAACAAACAATGCACAGACTGCGCAGGTCACCACCACGGAAGGATCTTTTCCATTACAGTCTGTACTCCTTTTTTGGTCCTGCCGTACTTGTTGCACTGTCCTACGCTTTGTCTGTCTTCCTTGAAGAATAAAAAAGAGCCCTATTAGCACATGTGTGCATGTGTACAACACTTTTTTTAAGTAGGACCCTCCCTTTTGATCTTTCCTGCTGGACACTGCTGACAGGTCCCTGTTAGCGCCCCCTGTTTGCATGTTCAGATCACTCACTCCCTGGGAGCTTGCCTGCTTGAATAGCCCAGGTGGGGCAGCATTCTCTGCTTTGTTCAGGTAGGAGTCACAAAACACCCACACCTACACAGCTGCTGAGAGTAGTCAGGCCACTTTCCTTGAGCCCTTGCTCTCAGGATCTACCCCTTCATTAGCAGCTGTCAGGAATACATGGTGAGCACGGTCAATTAGAAGTGTCAGTCCCTGGGTTTATCCGTGAAGGCATGTGTCCTACAGACATTGTTGGATTCCTGCTCCCATCAGCCCCAGCTAACATGGCCAATGGTAAGGAATGGTAGGGAATGTAGATCAGCAATATCTGAAGGTCACACCTTCCCACTCCTGCTCTGGGTAGTGAAGACAGAGAGCCGATCACGGAAGGAGCAGCCATCTCGCCCTCTTGTGCTCACTCACTTGTGCTCTCCTTGGACCAGTGATGTGGACCCTGACCTGGGAACCATTCTCCAAAACCCGCTCCATCATCCAGAAAGCAGCTGAGTGAGGAGAGGCGGCAGCTGAAATTCCAAGCCTTCCTTTCTCTCAGCACCAAGGGTTGGGGGCGAATAAGTGCTGCTTTCCTTTGGCTCTGTTCACCTGGGCTCTCCTTCCACAACCCCAGCCTGCTTGTGCTTGCTGGCTCTTTGGGCACGGCAGTAGGCACGGCCAGGCTGAAAGGGAAGGAGGCAGTGGTCTGCTGGAGCAGGGACACAAAAAAGACAGGGAGCGAGCAAGCGAGCGGCCGAGCGGACGGTGGCTGCCACCCAGCCTGCCTGCCCACACGCCGTAGAGAACCCCGGGTGCATTCCATGCTCCTGAAGTGACCATAGCGCTCCCCAGAGAAGGAGAGCCGGCGAGTGGCAGATGCACTGGCTTCTGCTTCCTCTCTAGGCAGCACTGTGCAGTCCAGAGATAGGAGTCTGACCCCGGCAGTGGCGCAGCTCAGAGCAGGAGGCCCTCCGTCTGTGCGCTGCGACCTGGGGACTCTCCCCTGTCCTTCTCCAGTCCCTGCAAGGGAAAGGATGAGCGGCTGCTCGTTGCTGTTTACTGCTCGGATGCCTCCCCGCACTTCTGCCGCTTTCCCCCCAGAACAGGAGCAGCTAAGCACTCTTTTTCCTAAGTGCTTCACGTCCTGAGTGGTTGGGCCCTCGCTCGGTCGGGACGCAAGCCCGAGGGAGGGCCGGAGGAGGGACGCGCCCTGGGCGGGAATCCCCTCCACATCTCTGCGCGCTTTGTAGTCTTCTTTCAAGTCAAGGGTGTCCGATTTCGGGCCGCGAGGAGAGCGCCACCCCCGACCCCTCCTCCTCCTCCTCCTGCTGCCAGAAGGGGAAATATGAAGGGGAGCTGCTGCTGTCGCCGCCGCCACCGTCGCTGCAGCAGCGCAGCGAGGAGGAAAGCCCGCAAGAGGAGACGCGGGGGGCCAAGCGCCGAGGAGAGCGGGGCGCCTGCAGCCGCGTAAAGCGCGATCGGCGGAGATTGCTGCGAGCAGAGGACGAGGAGGCGTCGAGGAGCCCGGGACGCGCGCCCAGAGCCCGTCGGCGTGGCTGGCATGGGGCGCGCCGCCTTCACTTGAAAGCCCTTAGTCAGGAGGGGACGCTCCGGGAGTTAAGCCTGGGGCAGCAGGGCGAGGCGCCCCTTGCCACGAGAGAAGCGGCCGGGCTGATTTTCGTTCCGCCAGGTGGGTCCGCTTGGCGGCTTCCGAGCCTGCGGGATTTTTAATTTTTACTTTTTAATGTGCGTGTTTGGAGATTATTGGGATTTCAAGGAAGCTCAAAGACTCTGAAGAAGGGGAGAGGAGAAGAGTGGCGAATAAAAGAGAAAGAGGCCAGAAGGAGAGAGGCTTTGCTGGAGAAGCCGTTGGAGAGGTGGAAATGTCCTGCCCCTGCTGCAGCTTGATTAAATACCTCTTCCTAGCCCTGCTCTTGCATGGTGAGTGTTGCTCGCAGAACGGTGCGATGTATTTGAAACGTGGTGCTGGTTCTCTCTGGAAAGTAATTAAATAAAGCTTTCTCTTAATCGACTTTTAAGTGACTCCGTTCTTCAGAGTTGCGACCTCTCTCCCTTTCATTTGCTTAGACTCCCCGTGCAGTTTGGTAGTACTTGATGATGATGATATTAGCGCATGGATGCGTTGCCTGCTGTCCGTGCACTTCAGACGTCAGAGTGGTTATATTTCTTAGTATACACACTTCTTTGCATGACAGCAAGGTTCCAGCTGAAGGAGCATGTTGCTGAACAACTTGAATAGGCAAGATTTGTGTGTCAGAGTCAAAAAGTGCCACTTTCACAAGACAAGTTGCAAAGCTGTTGGTTACCAAGTATACTCCTTGGAGTCAGTGGTCTGTTGTGTATTTTGTTTGTTTCTTTGTTTGTTTTAATGTATAGGCTTGTGAGAGACCCAACATGATACTGTTTTTCTATAGAAAAGGGTAGGCAATCAGGGTAGATGATCCAGGTAAGTCATCTCCTTTTGGGTCTGTTTAGAAAGTGCATATAATTTCAGAATATAGAATTGACTTTCCACAAGTTACGTTTTCATAATTTTGTATTTAGAAACCCATGCGCCAAACAGCATTTAAGCTGGATTCTGCATGCATGAGCATCTGAAAAGCATCTCAGGCTGTAGAACCAAACCATGTCATTGAGGTCAGCCGTACTGCTCAAGATCAAAGGGGCTGTGGACTTAAGTAAACATTCTGTAACCATTGTAACAATTGTAAAAAATACATTACACACCTTTGTGTCAGCCTTCCTCAGTAGAAAGGACCTTCCAGTTTTTTCAGACTATAGCCCTCATTACCTCCCAGCCAGCATGGTATGAAGGGAGGGTGATGTCATTCAACACAACTAAAAGAGTGGCAGGTTGAAAAAGGCAAATATTTGAATAATATGCCCATTAGAATAACCCAACTGGATCAAAGATCCATCTGGCCCAATATCCTGTTTCTGGCAGTGGCCAACTGAGAGGTCCACAAGGACTGCATGAAGGCAATAGACCTCCTCTGCTGTTTGTTCCTGCCCAGCAGCTGATGTTCAGGGATGCACTCTCTGTTCTCATGGACACTCAGCTGTATGAGACCTTCTTTTAAAGCTCTCTAAATGCATGACTGTCATCAGATATTGTAGTAGTGAATCCTATATGGTATGTCGTGCAAAGAAGCTATGTCCTGTATCTACTGCAACTTTCACCATTAGATCCATCATTAGATCTACTGCAAGTTTCATGAGATCCATCATTCTAATGTTATGAATGAGAAAGGCAAAAACAGCCATCTACTTTTTCCACAGTCTCATATGGATGGTGCCTGAATCCCTTGATCATTTGGTGCCCCTTTTCTGTACATTTTCTATCTCTGGAATATCCCTTTTGAGATGGAGCTTCTAGAACTGTACAAAGTATTTCATTTATTGATGTACAGACCTTATTATAATGGCAGTCTTGTCAGTCCTTCTCCTGATACCCATAACTCAGGTTCCACCTTTTTCACCACTGTTCCTCACTGTGTTGCATCTGGTGATCCTTCCATCCTATATGAGGAGATTCCTCTCAGAAGTTCTTCACAGTCTGCCATGGATTCCCCCATCCTGAATAATTAAATTTGTATTAAATTAAAATTTTCAGGTAGTAAACCTGGCTACCACACCGCTTACCCTTGATTCCAGATTATTATGAACATTAAATAGTCTCAGTACAGATCTTTGAGGAACTTTTTTTCTTTCTTCAATAGAATATTAATATTTAACCTGTGAACAGACCTGGCTTCCTATGCCATGACTGCTGCATTTACGAAGAAGCCTCTACTGAGGGACTTCCTTGCAAGCATTTCAAAAACTCAGCTATGCAAATGTACTCTAGCCCATGTGTTTGTGGAAACTCTCAAAAACTCTAAAAGCATGGTGAGGCAAGCAGCCTCCCAGGAGCAAGGCTAAATCCACCCAGTGTGACTTATTCTTCCATAGGCATAATCATTCGAACTTTAATAATGTTCACTCCAGTGCTGCTATATGTTCCCAGCATTTCCTGCTGAGTCAGGAGTGGAGAATTTGTGTAGATTTTGTTGAACTCTGTGTATGTTGTTGGACTATTTAACTCCCTCCAAGTTCAAGGGACTATTTAACTCCCTTCAAGCATGGCTAGAGGTCAAAGATAATGAGAGTTACAGTCCCATAACATCTGGAGACCCGTTTTTCCCTCCACCCCATTGCAAGTGGTTTTTGAACTCTTCAGAAGAGTTTATTGAGAGATCGATTATTGCTGCTGTTTCCATCCAGTATGAGATAACCTGCCATTAAACTGATAGGACTTCAGCATTGAAATGCATCGCTGAATTTTCAAAGAGGCTGGCTGCCCAATTTTTTTCTGTGGCAACTGTGGTTATTAAATATTTATAAAAACATAACTACTTTATTCATATTCTTTTCTTGATTACATACATAGGTCTATGCAGTGTTGATATCAGAATATTGAAAAACAATCATTTATAGTTGTTGGAATGTATGAGTTACGTCAACCCTTTTGGGCAATTGATGTGCATTAATGTCACACAATAATAAAGATTATGAGCTTTCTGTGTATCTTGTCTTTTTATGAGCAAAGATTACTTATTCATCAAAGGGTTTTTTATTATTCTCCTCCCACAGTTCACTACAAAATGTATAGACTGAATAAATATGTCTGGTTGAGACAGACCTGCATGGACGCCAAGGTGTACTTTAAAATTCTCTGATCTGGGCGTCTAGAAGTCAAAACAGAAGGTTTGAAGTTAGAGGCTAAGTAAGGAGAGAAGGTATAATTACAGGGTTAGACTCACAGGCTCATCTGCTTGGAATTACAGAGCTGTTTTAAACTTTGGCTGAAATGTGAACCAAATCAGGGCCAATAGTCAGATCAAACCAGCCACTGCCAAGAGAAGCTGAAATGGGAGGCTTTGTCTGTCTCTCCTCCCTTCCCACTGTGTCATCAAATGGGACCATTAAGAAAAGGAAGAAGGAAGAGAATGAATATATTTGCTGAGGCCATAAGCATTCCATACAGAAATGAATAAAAGTTGTAGAAAATAATTGCCCCCATGTGCTTAAATACGGACAGTGTAGGATATCATACCTGGACCTACAGCTTGTTCTTTTTTTGGGATGGGATACATTTTCACTTCTGCGTATGCATAATGAGAATGTTGTATTTCTGTCAGTGGTATTTGTTAATAAGTAAGAACCCTTACAAATGAAGCCCCATTTAACTGTCAGTTTTAATTTATGCATACAGGTTCTTTATTGGGATCTCTTTTCATTTGTATATTTGTCAAATCTTAATATAAAATCTAAATGGTTTCAATTGTTTTGCTCCAACTCCCTAGTTTTGAGTCAGTGTTTCATCTGAACCTTCTCAAACCTGGTGCTCCTCAGATGTCTTAGACTTCAGCTCCCATTAACCACAGCCAGCATGGCCATGCTGACAGAGTGATGGCAGCTACCATTCAATACATCTGTAGGTCAGCAGTTTAGGAAAGCTACCCTATATTAACAGTTGCCCTGACAGAACATAGGATTGTCCTTAGATTTCCAGGAAAGGAAATTTAAAATCATCACTAGGACCATATCTATGACCAAAAACCCTCTTCTTCTTGGCAGCTTTTCTCTTTTAATCTATAACCTAAAACATACATTTCTGTAAATTAAATTCTTTGTATCTTGTTTTGTTCTCTGTGATCCATTAACAACTGTAATCCATTTTGTATCTGATTTTTATTAAATACTTTAAAACTGCAATTGTAGCATATTTACAAAAAAAGAAGTTGGCATGACTTATTTTTCTGTAAACATGTGTAGGGTCAAGCTGTAAAACAGTCATTGTATCCTAGAGAGCATTCCTTTCCCTTGAGAAGCAATGTATCCTTTGTGATCCTCAGAATTAGGCCCATAGCTAGGCTGGATAGAACAGGGCCTTTTCAGTACTTTTCCAGATCATATGACCCACAAGGAAATCCACCTCAGTCTGAGCCTCCTTCTTGGACAAAGTAGTGTTAAATTACTTCCTGAAAAAGTGATTAGTTGACGAACATTTAATCTGTAGTATCTCTGAGGTTATGATATCTTACGAAGTGCTACTTCATATGGATTTTTTAAAATATGTAACTGTTTCAGCCATTTTGGTTAGACAGCATAAAATTAAATAGATGGCAGCATGACTACCTTAATTTTTCTCCATAATACTAGAACTCACAATCACCCAAGTCATCGATTAGGGACAGAGATAAGAAAGTATTTCATACAATGTATATGATAGGATGTGATGAGGCTACTGGTTTAGAAGGCTTTTGAATGCAATTAGACACATTCATGGACAATGGGTCTAGTGGACAGTAACCTAGAATCTAGTACCTAGAATCTCACATGTTCCAAGACTATCTCTGAATAACAACACCTGCAGGAAAACAGCAAGGATGTTTCTGGAAGCATTTAGATGGCTGTTGTTGAAAGAAGATGGTGGACTAGATAGACCTTTAACTTTGATCTAGAAAAGCTTCTTAAGTCCTTGCATTTTTTCCAATTCTAAACAAGCAGCCCATTATCTTCTCCTACTGTGACATGTCTACATTTCTGCTTCAGTTCTCTGAAATTCATCAACATCTGCAAAAACCAGCACTCAGAACTGAATATAATATTCCAAACAAGAAGTAGTATTCCATGCAACACTATCAATAACAGAAATTACACTGTGCTGGTATAAACTACCTCTAGCACACTTCCTGGAGTGATAAGTTTCCTGAAGAAATCTGTCACACTATCAAGTACTATTGATGTTGTACTAAAGGTCATTTACATTAGTGCAACCTAATTTACATTAGTGGTCGTGTTGCTCTGGATACTGCCCAAGGTTTTACCTGTACTTCCCTTGTCTTAAATATATTGCTTCAACTAAGGCTAGGTGAAATGGAACTGGGATATTTGGTCATGCTGTTGGGTATTGCTACTTACTCGGTTTAACCTTGATCAGCTATCACATTTATCATCAGTTAGCCAAACAACAACTGAAAAAAAAAAAAATCTGTCAAGATGCTTAGATCACATGGCTGTACTTCAGCCAGCTGGACAGCATGTGCAGTTCAGAAGTGCATTATAGATACTAGACATTAAAATGCTAGCACACTTTTGAAAACATGCTTAGTTTGTTATCTACTGAAAATATAAAATTAAATAACATGCATATAATGACTCAGATTCGTAATATACTGATTCATAAATATATCTTGATAATATGGGAATTGCATTCTTTTAAAGACTGTTGCTCAAAATAAAACATGCTGAATGTCAAAGGAGGTTTGTAGCTGGAACTCATCCATTATCGTGGTTAACTCTGCTTTTACTAAAAGCCACAAAAGTTTTAGATGTCAAATGCTAAAATCATTCAACTCTAGAACCTGATTAATAAGATGAAATGTAGATTTAAAACCATTTTCCTAATTTTTCATCTGTCTCCCCAGCCTACAACACTAGCCAGAGTACAGGAGACATAGCAACTTAGTAACCTTCTGTATGATGAGTTTTCTCTGCCCTACGTACACAATTAGTTTGTATTTATTCCTCAAGTTTGCACTTGTCACAGCTATATTAAGTTCTTAACTTGAGATATGTGAACTTAAGGAGATTGCTGCTATTCTGCTATTGCAACATATTGCAATAGGTATATGGAATATATATGTGCGTTGTGGATATTTATTTATTTATTTTTCGATTTATATCCTGCCTTTTTCCTACAAAGGGCTCAAGGCAGCTTACATCATCTCTCCTCCTCCATCTTATCCCCACAACAACAACCCTGTGAGGTAGGTTGGGCTGAGAGTCTGTGGCTGGCCCAAAGTCACCCAGTTGGCTCCATGGCTGAGCGGGGACTAGAACCCGGATCACCTGAGTCCCAGTCCCAGGCTCTTAACCACTACGCCACACTGATATTTTAATCACGGTTATGTTTACGTCAAGCGTTTATGGTAGTTCTATAACATATGATTTTCTGGGAGGTAAAAACAATACAGTTCTTCTTTTTCCCAATAGAATGTTAAAAATGTAGCCCATATTAGGGTTTAAGCCAATATCTTTCTACACATCTTACATACATTTACCCTATGGATCCTGTTTGAATTTTTGCTTTAATTTTTATTTCCAGCATTGATTTATCTTTGAAGTGTCAACCTACCAAAGAAGATTAAAGGGCATTTTTACAGGCTCCAAGAATATGCTTCTTTTGATGTTCAGAATGACAATTTATTTTGTACTTAGTTGTACTTAGTTGTTCTAATTACTTTTTGGAAATATGATTCTGACTTACTGTAAACATGCCAACTTATTCAATAATTAAATCAAAACCTTTCTTATATATTGTAGGCTCTCATTAACTATATATTAGGGATCTAAGTCTTGAAAATGTCTAATTTGATTACAATTGATTATATTGTAAGCCACCCAGAGAGCTTTATGGCTAATTGGGCAGCATATGGTCTTGACATGCACATGGTGGGCATGTCATGAGCGGAGCCAGCTGGAGCTGGGGGTCAGACTAGATGGCCAGGGAGACCCCTTCTGACTCGCTCTGTTTCTATATAAATCAAATAAATAGATACATAAAGTATACAAATTAAATACATGAAAAACTGAATTGGAAATATTTCCATGTGCATTAAACTGAAATCTTAGGAGGGGATTTTTTGTGCAATTTTCTATCACAAACTCTGTTATTGTCTAAAATATATCATTTATATATGAGTACAGTATTAAACATGCATATACAAGAAGTAAGACTGCATGGTCCTTGCTGACTGTAGCCCAAATCCAAAAACATGCAAAATAGGGTGCTTCATATCAGTAGTGAAGCACTGGTAATAAAATTTGCAGTGCCTCAAATAAAAGGTGGGGATGTACATTCTCACCTGTATCACATTATATAGGGAAATAGATTTCCATTCATACATCATAATTCTAATGCTGATTGCATGCTTTAGATACCCTTCTGGTTGTTCATTGGCCAACTATGAATTGCATTCTGGGTGCACAACTACCAATTCAGCATCAGCAACCAGATGTGCAGCCCTGGTGGGTGGGTGTGAGCTTCTGCTGACTTCACAATAAGGAAGAAAAGGGGCTGCAGCAACAAATGGCAAAAACCGGTTTCATATTCCATGTACAGCAAACCCCAGCAACAAGGGAGTTGCAACCTCTACGTGTACCTTAACAGTTTTGTCCGTCACCGTAGGTTTCTTCCAATGCACATTAGACATGCATTGCAACGCAAGGGACAGTAACTAAGCTATAATTCAGACACACACGCATGCCTGCATACGCATAGAATGTTTGAGAGTGCCTTCAGAATTTGGCTGTGGCCCACCCTTTCCTGCCTAATTTAGTGACCAGTTCTGCGAAATACTGCTCCTTTAGATGTTTAGAGTGATTAGAGTTAAAAACAGAAACATCTGCTTGGCAGTGAGACATAATATTCCCTATTGTAATTGTATACCTTGTGCATTGTAAGTCGGATGGGTAGTAGAGAGGTTATCTAGCAGTTTTCCACATCAAAAGATAACACTAATGTATATTTATTTGTTTGGGGCAATTGACTAGATAAGTAAAGCCATACCCTTTATCTAAGTAAGTTATGCCTAATCGGTTGGGAATGCTTTAAAACTTCTGACAAGTTTCCACTTGATATGGTTACAGTGAAGAAATATTTACATTGACGTTGTCATAACAGAGTTGATATCCACATATTATACTTTATTTCCACATAAGCTTAGCTTACCTAACTGTAGAACAAAATGGAGCAAACCTTAATTTGCTCTGCTAGATATATTGACTAACAGTTTCACAGTACACCTATGCATTTGTATGCTGAAATAAGATGAGTTATTATTTGGGACATACAGATTCCTATGTGTATTTTAAATTTGATATTTTATTTTAAATCTGCCTTATTAACAAATTGGATTTCCAGCCTTTAAAATTGCAGTTCTGAACTTCAGGTTTTGAAATGGTTTAAGGCATAATATTCAATGTATTGCAGAATCTGAAATAGTTTCAGAATCTTAGTATGTCAGAAATAAGCCTCTGTGGTCTTCCCAGCCAGATGCTCTCCAGATGTTTTTGACTACCAGTTCCCATAATTCCTAAGCATTCCTCATACTAGCTTGAGCTGAAGGAAGCAAAATCCGGCTTGGGGCATGGTGCTCTAAAAAAGAGAAGATCTAAGCAGATATCAATACCTGTTAATATGCAGGAAAGCATTCAAGAACATAAACAGCAGTGCAATTATAACAGAAAGCTTTCCTTTGCCCTTACATTGGGGAATTGAATGGTGAAGGGAATGAGCAAATGTACAATAGGTGTACATTTATAGTGATGCATCTTGTCCTTAACTGTACAAAAACCAGTTTCCAGGACTTTTATATGCTAGCATAAGCTAGAGATGAAACTATTGTTTGCTGATGAGGAAGCAGAACTATGTATGCAGAACTGGAATTGGATTCACAAAAGCTCCTATTAAGTTCTTCTTCTCTCCAGAGATGGGAATACCAAGCAAAGCAATCCTGTGAGCAAAAATCCCAGAAGAAGTAGTCATGATGCACAAAGATGTGTGAAGAGCCATAAAATGAGTAAAATGATTTAAAGTTTGTTTGTATTAACGCAAAAGTGTAGAAATGTCCTCGAGAGTAAGTTGCACTGGGATTTCTGAGTAAACCTAGTTTGGTTTGCACTGTAAACATCCTGGTCCTGGTCCTCCTACATTAGTGCTGGCAAAAATATAATGTGAGGATCATCCCAAATCATGTTACCCATACAAAGCCAATTTATAAAAAGGCATCATGCATCTGGTTGCTAGCAAGTGAAACTGAGACAGAGGCATGCATCAATTTGCACTTTCCCAAACTCATCAGAATTTTCATATTTCATCTTTGCTTTCTCAGGGCTGGGAGAAGGTTCTGCGCTTCTTCATCCAGAAAGCAGGTCCCACCCTCGATCACTAGAGAAGAGTGCATGGAGAACATTCAAGGAGTCACAGTGTCATCACATGTTGAAACATCTTCATAATGGAGCCCGAATCACTGTTCAGATGCCTCCCACCATTGAGGGACACTGGGTCTCCACTGGGTAAGGGTAGAGACAAGCAGTAAGATCATGGTTTAGAAAAGGAAATCCAGGAAGCTAAACTGTGCAGATAGACGTTAAAATAATGTTGGGAGCAAAGTGCTTTAGAAACACAGACAAATATGATAGCTTATTATAAGCTACCTTGGGAAGATTAGAGTGGTAGTAATAATAACAATAATCCTCTTTGAGGCCCAGTACTGAGAATTGATAGAATATAATTAAATATAATAATAGTAATATAATACTGAAACTTCACTGAGTAGCTTTTGTCTGCAAATTCGTAAGTAGTTTAAGGAAACTTTCCATAACAGCAGTGTATCTCTTCTATATGATTCTGCATTTTAAAGTCAAGAATGCTTTGAGAGTAATTTATATTACGCACAGAGAGGCTGCTGTTAGGGCTAGAATGTGTACATAGAATCCTTCCTGGCTGCATAAGCAAACCTGCAGAATGTTGTAACTATAGATTGTATTTTAAACAGTACGACATTCCAAAGAGTTGGAAACCGCAGTGCAACTGAAATTCATGAACTTACTCATATGTTGTCATGTGTTGCAGCGCAGCCATTTTCAGGGACTAATGAATAAAATCTTGTGCATTATGCCATTTTGCATGACATATGTATAAACAAAGTTCATTAACAAAATTAAATTATGAAGCTTTACTTGACGAGTCCAGGCGTGCGTATGTGCTTATCTGAGATCACAAGCGTTCAGTTAAAGGGAGGCATTTACTTTTTAGTCTCAGCTTGCAATATACAGCTGTGTACTCAATTATTTTCTTAGGAAGTCTCTTTGGGGATATAAAGTTCTCTTCATGTCCAGTCCTGCAGTCCTTATTCAGGCAAAACCACAACTGAAGTTAATGGGAATAGTGCTTGAGCAAGTCCTAATCTTCATCCAGATCCACCACACATAGCACTGTATGTTCAGGGACAAGCTGGAAAAGTCCACCACATACATGCAGACTTTCTACTTGCAGAAAGCAGGCAGATCACTAAGGTCTTATCTTATAAACTGTCTTTTCCTTGTAACTATTCATATACCTGTTTCAGATGTTACAGTTAGGGTATATTTTATAACATAGGAAACCTAAAGCACGTTTATTAATCTGCTTGCCTAAAGCCAGATAGGTATGTTCAGTCTTTTTATCCCAGGCAATGAAAGTTTCTTTAAAGAGTTACCTTGTAAAACAAACAAAATCTCAAGGAAATAAAATGAGAAAGGGCTAATCTAAAAGCTATTCAGATTGTGGGAATATTTATTTTCTAAGGCAGGCGCACTAAATTTTTACTGTATTATAGTCATATCTCTCTAAGAAAAAATGGAAATAGTCTTGAAATATTGATTCAATAAGCTTACTCCACCTTTGCAAAATATGCAGAATGTTGACAGAAAAGAGAAAAAATGAGCATCTAATGGTATAGCTTAAGAAAATTCTATATCTAACTTGACAGTACTTGGAATAAAGTGGACTACAAATCTAAGCAGTAATTATTCAGAGAAGAGGAAGTGTGTTGAGAAAAAAGGAAGTTGGCAATGAATAAATAAAATGGGCAAAAAAGCCAGAAAATGCTAAATACTTTCCCAGTGCTAAAGGTATTTGCTTGAGATACTCTCGACAAGCACAGAACCCCACCCCTGAAATATATTGTTAACTGTAGGAAGAAGAAAGTGCTAGTATTCTAATTATTATTATGGAGAATACTGTATTGTGGTGTAAATAAGATGTGTTAACAGCCCTAGTCAGCACTTTTTATATTACTGATAAATTACAGTTTCACACCTTACTAAGATTCTTGTTTTTTTTCCAATTTGGCTACAGTTGTGAAGTTAGGTCAGGCCCAGAATTCATCACAAGATCCTACAGATTCTACCACAATAATACATTCAAGGCCTACCAGTTTTACTATGGAGGAAACCGCTGTACAAACCCAATCTATTCCTTAGTTATCCGTGGTAAAGTTCGCCTCCGGCAAGCATCCTGGATTATTCGAGGAGGGACTGAAGCAGATTACCAGCTGCATAACGTGCAGATCAATAGCCACACTGAGGCAGTTGCTGAAAGACTAAGTCAGCTGGTGAATCGGACTTGCCCCGGATTTGTACCAGAAGATAAACCCTGGGAGCAGAATGTGAGCTACGACTTATGGAGAGAAGAGAATGGTTATGAATGCACCAGAGCACTGAATTTCGCTATGCATGAACTGCAGCTCATCCGTGTAGAGAAACAGTACCTGCACCACAATTTAGATCACCTAGTGGAGGAACTGTTTCTTGGAGACATCCACACGGATCCTGCTCAGAGGATGTATTATCGTCCATCCAGTTACCAACCTCCTCTGCAGAATGCGAAGGTATGTGAAACATTTTTCACAAGACACATTGATAAAATATCCCTTTTATAGCCATGTAAGCCAAAGAGGCTGCAAACAAAATTCTCACATTATCAGAATCATTATTCCATCTTCATTCAAAATCATCTGTCACTGCAGGTTTGGCCCAACACCTTCATACACTCCTTGTCATTTTTGCTTTTTTCATGCTTTGCTCCCATCCAAGGCAGCATCACTTCTTTCAGGTTCAGCCCTATCGCCCCTAGTGATTCTCTTCTTTTGCACACTCATCACAAAGTTTGTTTCCTTTGTCTCTTTTGCCTTTTTAAGGAGCACCAGCTCCTGCAAAACTTCTCAAAGCTTGTGGAATAAAACTATACTCTCTTGTTAACACTTACATTAGAAATAAAGGTACAACAACATATCAAAGTTTTGTTGATTGAAACAGGTTCAAGGGTGAGTGGGAATCTATCATATACTTTTCCCTAGCTCATACTCTTTCAAGGTTCCTTGAACTTTGAAATGTTGCTGACAATAACAGGAAACTATTATTTCCTAACAGGAAATAACAGGAAACTAATAATAACAGGAAATTCACCCTTTCTTGAAAACAGAAACTATTTAAGCTTACCAGCCAGCCACTCCAGAGGTCATTTCTTTTAGCTTTTGTGTTTTATTACAAATGAAATTTTGCATATTGTCAGGTCAGGTAAGAGTAGTTTGAGGATAGGGCACTATTGTGGCCTGCAGCATCTCATCAAAAGATGCAGCAAATAACACTTTCCTTAATTCTTTGCTTTTAAGCTCTTGTAGTTTTGAAGTACCTCTACTGAACATCTTTGAGATCTGCCTTATGTTTTTCATCCTGTATGCTATCAGATACAGAGTGAGCAAGTTTGCACATCATGCTGAATCGCTCCAGCAATAAGCCGTAGTGGTAATGATTGGATTCACCACTTGTCCTTCACCCATTGCCTCCTCCATGGTTCTCCAGCAGATATCTCAGAGGACTCCATGGCAGGACTGGCTTGGCTGTTCCCTCCTGCCACAAGTAATTTTCACTTGCCACATATTTTGTTCATCTTTCCATCTTTCCAGAGATCATAATTTCTACTTTGACATCTAGTTTTTTTGACAGCCAGTGAGAGCCCCTTCAAAGTTCCCAAGTGCACACACTGGAGGGGCTGTCAGTAGTTGGAAACCTCTTGTTACTGTTATTTTTGCACTAACCATGTGTGTAAATATTTCTGTGTTTTTAAAATTATTTTAGGCACATTTGTGGGAATGCATCCTTGGACATACTTGCATACTTTGGGGGTCCACAAATGGGAAGGCTCAGCTGGGCACTGTTCTGGGAATATCTGTGGGCGAAGCACAGCACAGCTCCCATCTCTGGAAATTGACCCAGACATGCTCCAAATAGGCCTTTCCTCCACTTTGCTTTCTTTTGACAGTTGACAAAGGAATGCAAACTTTGAATGATCATTACTCATGAAATGGAGAGGCACAATTTACATTCTTTCACAAGAAGAACCTCCCTGTTTTGTTTTGTGTCTTAACTACCCTCACAGACTCAAGCATTTTCCTAGCTTCTGAGGAAAGTATAAACGTGAAGTTGACTCCATTTTCAAGAAAAAGGGACTTGATGGCTAGCTTCAAATCTCTGCATCCTTTTTAGACGGAGTCCCTATTTAGATCTGATTTAGACAAACAATAGCTTCATGTGGCTTGTTGTGTGATCTGAACCTGGGAGACCAACTGGAGGAGAGCAGCAAAAAACCCTTACGACTCTTATTAATCTCATTCACAAGTGATGGCTACTCCACTGATGCTCAAATGACACGTTGGGTTAACTATTACTAGCTTGTTCCTATTTTGAAAAGACAACAAAAATGTGTGTAATTGGGATCACAATTTTTGTTTTGCAAAGGCGTGCACTTAAATCTGCCTGAAATCTGGAGTTTTGCCTGACCAGTGATCTGGTAAATGTCTGCTGTCAAAATGCAGTGTGTTCCTTCCAGCTTCCAGCTGTCAATTGGTCAGCTGTCAATTTGTCAAGTGAAATGCAAAGTAGCAAAGAGGCTTTTGCCTTGAAAGCGATTGGCATATATATTTCCCTTTAGCAATATGATCCTCCAGCTTGTAAGTATTGAGCATTCCTTGGTGCCCTCCAGCTTTTCCACACTTTAAGGAGCCTCTAGGCACTGCAGAAAGGGGAGATTTACATCCCATCTGCTTTTCATGCACACTTTTGACAACTGTCAAACCATAGAGAGGATTTTTTAATGATCTGACAAATGTTATGGGGTGTAATTTTTGAACAAGGAAATCTGCAGCCTTGTATTTCCCTGTCCTTAAAATAGTCAGATTTACAAGTCAGTTAATAAAATGTGTGCATTGCCTCGGTTAGCTGAGTTCTAGTCTCCCTCTCCCTCTCTCCCTCTCTCCCTCTCACACACACACTTGTACCTGAGGTTATTAGTGTGGTACCTCTAGAAGTAACATCTTTGATATGTACTATGAAATCTCTTTGAAATCACAGCCAGAAAAAATGTTGATAGATAATGAGAAAGGTTTTTATTGAAGAAAGAAAAGATTGTCAAGAAAATAGGAGAGGAAATCAATATGTTGTCAGCCTAGCAACTGTGCAAGGATGGGAACATGCTGAGAATGTTACTGCAGACACATGTCCACATGCCATGAGAAAATGATGCATGTTCTATTCTGCAAGAGAAGGAAGAACTAAAGATATTAATGGAATATTAATTTTCCATCCATTTTAGAAGACTTGCAAATTTAATCTATAGCAAGAACTGAAAGTACCAAACCTAACTGTACAAACAGAGAGAGGGAGGGAGGGAGGGAGGGAGGGGGAGAGAGAGAGAGAGATGAAAATACATCTTAAGGTTTTGGAGTAAACCTGTCTGTACATCTTTACTGATGACATTTCAAAGGAATGCACATAGCAATTGGAACCACATTTGAAACTTGAGTTGTCATTGGTTAATTCTAAACAGAATGCTTTAGAGTCACTTCTAATTTAGAATTTTTCTTAGCGTTTTTAAAGATTTCCACCACAAAGGCCATGATTGTAACCAGTTGGTGTAATTATTTAATAAGACGTCACTGAATGGACATATAAAACACCTCTATGCAAAGAAACATATTTCTATTAGGTCCTGGCATTTTTGTGTGACATTTTGGACAGGTCATTTTAAAATAAAATATAATCCCATTTTGTTGTGCATAATCTCATTTGATGCTTTTTCTATACAAAGTTGTAAGTGGTTGTGCTTTCATGAGAATTTAAGAAAGAAAGCTTTGGAGAAGCCATCCTCACACAGTCTAGTATAATGTGCAGTTTGACCCCTTCTGGCTATTTACAGGTTGTAGCATCGCTCTTAGATGTAAAACAGATGGCCAGAAAAGATGGATCTGGAGAACATATAAAACACTTGTGTATGGTTATACAGGTTGTCCTTCAAAATTGTTTTTTCCTAATTGCTGGTCCACAGGGACATAGCTGATAATAAGCTTAAATTCTAAAATGAGTTTAAAATCACTAGTCTCAGCTCTTCTGGAAACTAGATACCACATATAAACAGAAACATGAATTCAAGTTTTTTTCTTAATAGTTCTATGGTCACACACTTAGCTTGGTGAGACTATCACCTCTGAAGTGAATCAGGTGTATTTTACAGAATCCGTCTGGCAAAGCTTGTTTCATTTCCTTTTTATTATTATTTTAAAATATTAAAACACAGCTAAAATCATTAGACCTCTATAAAGAATAGAGAGCGTTGAAGCTTTTAAAGTTGTTAAACATGCAAAAACAAAGAAGTCATGTTCATTATATGCTTGAAATGAGTGGTAGTTAAAAGCAAATAATTATTGGATATGTTAGGAATGCTAGAGTGAAATAGAATCAGGCTTGTTCCAAATTCTTTACAATAGTTTAGTTACAAAGGCCCAAAGTGAAAACTAGACAGATCTAGGCCAAGCTGTTAATGTGAATGAATTTCCTAAGGTCCAAAGTTTGTTTGAGCAAATGAAGAAAAAATGGAGTCCCCACCCTGAAATGTCCTCTTTATAACTTCCTTACGTGAATACTGTTTATTAGTATTTAAATAAAATATCTATAATTTCCTAAATTTGTGACCTCTAGTAGTCTAGTGGAATTATACCAACTGCCCAGTGCAATGTAAGGGAAGCAAGTTGCTTTCTTGTTTGAAATATTTATTAGCAAAAATGGGATGTAGAAGTTTTCATTGACAGCTGGATTTGAGGTGGCTGTAAAGAGGGTAGGATAACTCAGGCCATGTGTATTGGCAGTCTGATACCATTATTTCTTGAAGGAGCACCAAGAATGTGTGGGCACAGGGTGGACCACAGTTCACTAATGACAGGTCTTCAGAGCTACTGGGAGCTTTGGGTGCAGCCAGTCTTACTACGAAAGCTAAAAACGCAGCAAGACTCTTCTGTTGTTGAATATATTATGTACTCAGACTGTGAAAAGACTGTATTATATCTTTATTTTTCCTGGGGATTTCCTGTGGTTCACCACTCTATGTTTAAAGTGCAAAACCATTAACACATGCCCGGGGACCATCAGTAAATTTAAGGCTTATACTTTCAGAGATCCAAGAGACTTACAGAGATAACTTTGATTCAGGGTAGGTCTCCTCAAGCTTCTTTACCTGAATAATGAATGTCTGGGGTGTATGAAACACATTTATTTAGCATTTCAGTGTACCTGCAGTCACCATGTGTAAAACCTGAGTTCTGCCTCAACATAATGGAAATAACAGAATTTTCTTCTTTTTATAGACAAAATAAAGAAAAACCGCAAAAGCCACTCTAAAAAAAACCTTTTAAATTTATGACATGTATTGATGAATACAAACAATGAAAAAGTAACATATTGTGTGTTAAATTCTATGTTCCTGTCAAAGATAGGCTGGACATGCACATGGTGGGCATGTCAGGAGCGGTGCCAGCTGGAGCCGGGGGTCAGACTAGAT